CAATTTTTAGGTCCCAAATCCAAATTTTTGGGTCTCAAATCCCGAATTTCCCATCCTAAATCCCGAATTTGGGCTCTCCAGGGCAATTTTTGTGTCCCAAACCCCAATTTTTGGTCCCAAATCCCAATTTTTTTGCTCCAAATCGCAATTTTTAGGTCCCAAATCCCAATTTTTGTGACCTAAACCCCAAATTTTGGGTCCCTAACCCCAAATATTGAAGAAAAACTCAAAATATTCGGGATTTTGGGGGATTCCCCAGGACCCCTGGGGGCTTTCCCTATAATTTTTAGGTTCCCAACCCCAATTTTGAGGTCCCAAATCCCAATTTTTGTGTCTCCAACCCCAAATTTCCCATCCCAAATCCTGAATTTGGGCTCCCCACTGCAATTTTTAGGTCCCAAATCCAAATTTTTGGGTCTCAAATCCCAAATTTTATGTCCTAAATCCCGAATTTGGGCTCCCCAGGGCAATTTTTAGGTCCCAAATCCCAATTTTTGTGTCCCCAACCCCAAATTTCCCACCCCAAACGCCGAATTTTGGCTCCCCAGGGCAATTTTTAGGTCCCAAATCCAAATTTTTGGGTCTCAAATCCCAAATTTCATGTCCTAAATCCCAAATTTGGGGTCCCCACTGCAATTTTTAGGTCCCCAACCCCAATTTTGAGGTCCCAAATCCCAATTTCTGGGTCCCAAACCCCAATTTTTGGGTCCCAAATCCCAATTTTTGGGTCCCAAATCCGAATTTTTGTGTCCCCAACCCCAAATTTCCCATCCTAAACCCCGAATTTGGGGTCCCCACTGCAATTTTGAGGTCCCAAACCCCAAATTTTGTCCCCAACCCCAATTTTTGGGTCCCAAAATCCAATTTTGAGTCTTAAATCCCCTCAATTTGAGCCCTTTCCCATCCAGTTTTTGGGGAAATTTTGCAATTTTGGGCATTCCTCTATAAATTTTGGGTCCAAAATCCCAATTTTTAGGTCCCAAATCCCAATTTTTAGGTCCCCAAACCCCAATTTTGGCTCCCAAATCCCCTCAACTTGAGCCCTTTCCCATCTGATTTTTGGGGGTTCCCCTATAAATTTTGGGTCCCAAACCCCAATTTTGAGGTCCCAAATCCCAATTTTTGTGTCCCCAACCCCAATTTTTAGGTCCCAAATCCCAATTTTGAGGTCCCAAATCCCAATTTTTGTGTCCCAAACCCCAAATTTCCCGTCCTAAACCCCGAATTTTGGCTCCCCAGGGCACCAAGGCTCAGTACCTGGCGGCCAAAGCGCTCAAGAAGCAATCGTGGCGTTTCCACACCAAATACATGATGTGGTTCCAGCGGCACGAGGAGCCCAAAACCATCACCGACGAGTTCGAGCAGGTGAGAAANGGGGCCAAAATCCCCAAAAAATCCAGATCCTGATACTCAAATCGCTTCAAAATGGCTCTAAAATTGGATTTAAAATGGGAATTTTTGACTGTGGGGTCCCTAAAATCCATCCCTGAATCCCAAAATTCCCAGAATTCCCAAAATTCCCACCCCAAATCCAACCCTGAGATCCGGGATGGGCCAAATTCCCAAAAAAATCCCAACTCGAATGCACAAATCCCTTCAAAATTTGGTTTAATTTGGATTTAAAATGGGATTTATTTGATTTTTAAGGATCAAAATCAATCCCTGAATCCCAAAATTCCCGAAATTCCCAAAATTCCCACCCCAAATCCAACCCTGGGAACCGAGATGGGCCAAAATCCCCAAAAAATCCCGACTCGAATGCACAAATCCCTTCAAAATTGGCCTAAAATTGGATTTAAAATGGGAATTTTTGACTGTGGGGTCCCTAAAATCCATCCCTGAATCCCAAAATTTCCGAAATTCCCCAAAATTCCCACCCCAAATCCAACCCTGGGAACCAAAACGGCCCCAAATCCCAAAAAAATCCGGATCCTGATGCTCAAATCCTTTAAAAATTGGCCCAAAATTGGATTTTCGGGAATTATTTTTAGTGTGAGGTCTCTAAATTCCATCCCTTGATCCCAAAATCCAGCCCTGAATCCCAAAATTCCCGAAATTCCCAAAATTCCCAAAAAAATCCAACCCTGGGAACCAAAACGGCCTCAAATCCCAAAAAAATCCGGATCCTGATGCTCAAATCCCTTCAAAATTGGCCCAAAATTCCACTGTAAATGGGATTTATTTGATTTTTGAGAATCAAAATCAATCCCTGAATCCCAAATTTCCAGAATTCCCAAAAATTCCCACCCCAAATCGAACCCCGGGAACCGGGATGGGTCAAAATCCCAAAAAAATCCGGATCCTGATGCTCAAATCCTTTAAAAATTGGCCCAAAATTGGATTTTCGGGAATTATTTTTAGTGTTGGGTCCTGAAAATCCATCCCTGAATCCCAAAATTCCCGAAATTCCCAAAATTCCCAAAAAAATCCAACCCTGGGCCCCAAAATGGTCCCAAATCCCAAAAAATTTCCATCCAGGAAGCAAAAATCACTGAAAAAAAGGTTTTTATTCAAATTTTAATGGGATTTTTTTATTTTGGGGGAGTGGGAGGTTCAGGATTTTCATCTGGATCCCAAAATTCCCAAAAAAACCCCAAAATTTCCCAAAAAAACCCCCAAAAATTCCCATCTGAATCCCAAAATTTTCCCAAAATTCCCTTAAATTGCCAAAAAAACCCAAAATTCCCCCCCTAACTCCGTTTTTGACGGGGTTTTTTTTTGGGTTGGGGGTTTTGGGGGCCCCAGACCCAATTTTGGGATCCCCCGACCCCAAAATTTCCCCCAAATCCCAAAATTCCTCCCTAAACTCCCAAAATCCCTGAAAAAATCCCCAAAAATGCCAAAAAATCCCCAAAATTTTCCCCCAACTCCGTTTTTGACGGGGTTTTTTTTGGGTGGGGGGTTTTTGGGGACCCCAGACCCAATTTTGGGATCCCCCTGACCCCTTCCCGACCCCAAAATTTCCCCCAAATCCCAAAATCCCCTCCTAAAGTCCCAAAAAATCCCCTTCCCACTCCCAAAAAACTCCAAAATTCCCCCCTAACTCCATTTTTCACGGGGTTTTTTTTGGGTGGGGGGTTTTTGGGGACCCCCGACCCAATTTTGGGGTCCCCCTGACCCCTCTCCACCCCCCAAATTTCCCCTGGACCCCCAAATCTCCTGAAATCCCAAAAAAATCCCCTTCCCACCCCAAAAAACCCCCAAATCCCCCCCTAACTCCGTTTTTTATGGGGGTTTTTTTGGGTGGGGGGTTTTTGGGGACCCCAGACCCAATTTTGGGGATCCCCTGACCCCTCCCCCATCCCAAATTTAGGGCACTTACATCTACTTCGACTACGAGAAGTGGGGGCAGCGCAAGAAGGAGGGGTTCACCTTCGAGTACCGTTACCTGGAGGATCGAGATCTGCAATGAACCCCCAAAAAAAAACCCCAAAAAA